CTCTGGGTTTATTTTTGTGTCCTGTTGAATCCTTTCCAAGAAAAAGAGCTTCCTCATACAAGCAAGCATGAGAATACATGTAAAAAAACCCTGCAGAGGCCGATAGGGCAAACTTGAACTTTTTTGAATACAGTATCCTACATATATGGGGTTTGTACTTTTATTCATTAGGGAGGAAAGTTTCTTTGAGGATAGTTACTTGGTTATTAATCATATAAGCTTCTTTTGATAGTAATATACCTATTGTCTAATGCTAACTTTTCCTAAAAAAAAAAATAATAATAAGGGAATGAGAATTTAAACCTCAAACCTGAACATTTGGCTTGAATCAAGAAGGGAATGATGGAATGCAGTTCCATCATCTTACACCTAAGGAGAGAAGGCTTCCATAAGAGACTCAAAAAGCAGCCTGGGAAACCCATGGAACTTCAGCCTGACAAGGGAAGAGGGGTCCACATAGTAGACATCTTCCATTCAAAAGCTCACTAGGAAGAGGAATGGGGTCTGTTTTCTACTTTCACAGAGTTCTTTTATAAGATTTATTGTCACAGATAAAAACTAATAACATTCAAAGATCTCTAGACTTAAATTCATAGACTATTCAGTAAAAGCATTTAAAGGATGTATTCTTTTACACATTTGCTTTGACAAACTTTTTTACTTACATCTTTTGCACATATTTGTTGTTGTTGGTCTCTGGTATCTAATTCTATAATGCTTCTTATTGATCTAATGCTATTCAATAAACTCAAGCAAACATTTCACTTATGAGCGACTCATTCTTAATAGATCATTTACTCAATTTAGACATTCTCTGAATCATCATAATGAAAAGTAGGATTTTATCATGTTTATTTTCTTTGCATGCCTCTTATCTTTTACAGATGATCAAAATTACATGGCAAAGGGCGAGAGAAATTATTCCTAATATTAACGCAGTGGGAAAATGCTTGACTGCGAGAGCCTCTTTCCTTTGATGTATAGTCATTGAGATTTCCTCCAGAAATTTCCAATCTCTTACTAAAACCCACTTTCACTGTCTCATTATATTGATTCTTAAAGTTTCCAGTGTTTCATTTGACAAAGTTTTGCTTCGAGTGTGACAAACGGAAGTTGCAGATCCATAAACTCCCATCCCCCTTCCTTCCCTGCTTCCAGCCCAGCTCTCTCACCGCTGCGCTGAGCTCTACTAGGCTCGTGCCCCTTGCTCCCTCTGCTGCTCTGGGGAGTCTGCTCCCAGCATGCCCAGGTTCCAAGTTATATCTGGCTCCCTCTTTCATTTTTCTCTTTTTATTTAAATAGATTTCTTGAGAGGGAGTGAAAAAGCACCTAAAAATACTACATCTTCTGCTGTCTACAATGTTTCTTTATTACACACACACACAAAGGGATTATAAAATATCATCAAAATCCTGCATTCTAGCATCTTTTGGGCTTCAATATTTACAGATAGGAATCATTTCATTTTTTAATTTAATTTTGATCTTTTTTGAGAAATGTAGCTAGACAAAAATTCAGCAGCCTCGAATCAGAAATGTTACCATTTCATGAGGTACTACTATTGCCCTGGTTTTACAGATGTAGAAGCTGATACACAGGGGTTAAGTAACCTGCTCAAGGCCAAATTTTGAGCCCAGGCAATCTGGCACCAGAATCCATGTCTAACCACTACACTATGCTGACTCTATGAATAAATGCACTGGTCTACGGAAAAGTTGGTACAACTGAGAAAGAGAGGAAGTCCATAACTCAGAAGGGTAATATTTGAAAGAGAAATTACATCATTTTGTGGTCCTCAAGGACAGAAGGATGCTCGCCATGTGTAGTCTGTCTGAAGAGCACCATCAGCAGCATCTGGAAACTCGTTAAAATATATATTCTCAAGCCCTGCCCAGATCTTCTGAATCAGAAACTCAGGCATTGGGCTCAGTAATCTGTGTTTAACAAACTGGTATCATAAAGAATATATTTGGTCTTTGTCTCCAGTTCCTGGCACAGAGCTCCAAAAACTTTTGGAATTTCCTGACTAATAGGAGTGTTTTTTGTTATTCACAATGAGCCCCTTTAAACCATACCTGAGGTTTTGCTGGTGAGGTAACTGTTAGCATATCCCCAAATAGCTTCAGGATGGGGCTGGTTACCAGAGGAACCAATCTTAATAGGACCTCCATAAACACCCCTAAACAACAGGGTTTAGAGAGCTTCTGGGTTGGTGAACATATTGAGGTGCTAGAAGAATGGTGTACCTGGAGAGGGCAGGGAAGGAATGTGCCTCCCATCCCCCATACGTTGCCTTATACATCTCTTGCATTCAGCTGTTCCTGAGTTGTATCCTTTACAATAAACCAGTAATAATAAGTAAAGAACTTTCCTGAGCTCTGTGAATTGCTCTAGTGAATGATTAACCCTGGAGGGTGGTGGTCATAGAAACCTCCAAATTTACGGCCAACTGGGCAGAAATGTGGATAGCCTCAGCATTCTATTTGCATCTGGTGTCTGAAGTGGGGGAAGTCTTGTGGGACTGAGCCCTTAACTTGTGGGATCTGAACTAACTATAGATAGTGTCAGAATTGAATTAAATTATTGGACACCCAATAGGTATCAGAGAATTGAAGTATCAGTAAACACTTGAGAGAAAAAATAAACTTTCACAAATCAAGTGATTATGAAGCTGCTAAAGTTTGAAAAGCATTGTTCTAAAGTAAGGGCTCCAACTCTCACAGTACATTAGTCATCTAAGGGAACTTTCTTTTATAAATATCAGATTAATTATGTTATAATTTACATACAATAAAACTCACCTTTTTAAGTGTTAAGTTCAATAAGTTAGTTCTCACAGCCCCCATCTCAGTAAGTTTGGGCTGCTGATATCAAAGTCCCATAGACTGGATGACTTAAAAATAACAGATATTTCTTATGGTCTAAAGGCTTAGAAGTCCAAGATCAGGGTGCCAGCATGACTGGATTCTGGTGAGAGCCCTTCTCCGAGTTGCAGACTGTTGACTTCTCATTGCGCGTGCACAAGAAGGAGAGCAGAAAGGGGTAGTAAGCTCCCTGGTGACCCTTATAAATGCAGTAATCCTATTCTTGGGGGTCCCGCCTTTATGACCTCATCTAAAGCTAATTATTTCCCAAAGACCCCGCTTCCTAATACCATCACGTCAGAGGGTAGGTAGAGTTTTAACATACAAATTTGGGGGAGAGACAAATATTCAGTCCATTACAGCCTTAGTCCCTGTCTTGTTCTTATAATTTTGCCTTTTCCAGAATGTCCTATAAATGGAAGCATACAATGTGTAGGCTTTTATCTGACTACTTTGCATAATGTTTTCAAGATTCATCATGTTGTTGAATGTATTGATAATTTATTCTTTATTGTTGTTGACTATTATTCCATTTTAGGGATATGCCATAATTTATTTATTCATTCACCAGCTGATGGACATTTGAGTTTTTTCCAGTTTTTGGCTATTATGAATAAAACTGCTGTCAATATTTATATACGAGTCTTTGGGGGGAACATATGATTTTGTTTCTCTCAAGTAGATATCTAGATGTGAGATTGCTGGGTCATATGGTAGATGTATATTTATATGTTTCTATAAAGTTATACCTTTTATTTTTAACTTTATATCTGTTTTCCATAGTACCTATATTATTTTGCATTCCCACCAGCAATATATGAGAATTCCAGTTGATTCACGTCCTCATCAGCACTTGGTATTATCAACCTTTTAAACTTTAGAATGTCTTAGTAGATATTTAATCTATCTTAATTTTTATTAACTAAAATGGCTAATGATGTTGAACAGTTTTAATGTGCTTATTTAAGATCTTTACATCTATATTAGAAAGCTACCTTACATGAAAGCCTTTGAGTTATGCTGGCAAAGTTACCAAAAAGAAATTGACCACATATGTATGGGTGTACTTCTGGCAGCTAATCTGTTTTATTGATCTATATGTCTATCCTCATGCTAATGCCACATGGTCTTGATTAGTGTAGCTTAATAATAAGATTTCAAATTTAGTAGAAGTCTTCTTCATTCTTTTTCTAAATTGTTTTGGACCTAACTTCTTTGCTTTTTGATGTGAATTTTTAAATCACCTTGTTAATTTCTAACCCCCCCCCCCAAAAAAAAATTGGGATTGTATTGAATCTACAGATTAATTTGGGGAGAACTGGCATCTTGATAATATTGAGTCTTTCAGTCATGAACACAATATATCTCTTTACTATGTATGATTTCTCTAATTTCTCTCAGCAATATTTTGTAATTGCTCACATTCAGATCTTAGCCCCCAAGGCCAAACCATGAGCTGTTGCCTTTTAAGGACATCCATCTGTAGCAACAAAACAAGCACATGTGTTCTTTATTTATCATGTATATTATTTGGGAAGTGGTCACATGTGGCGTTTAGCCTAACTTTAATTGGATATTATTGCTTTCTTCTCAGAAAAGTAATGAACCATTTAAAACAATTAGATGAGGCACTCTCAAATTCCCCCACCAGATCTGCAAGTCTACCCAAATCCCCTCCCATCCTTATCAATTCCCTTTTGCTACATTAAACCTGGTATTCCTCTCCTCATTCCTCCAAGGCCATCCCTCTATCTGTGTTTAAATCTCATCTCCTCTTACTATCTCAGGAGAAACACACTATCAACTCTTCTTTTGTTCTCCTCTATGATCAACCACTTCTTCCCAATTAGTTCCATCTCCATACCATTTAAACATATTCCAGTCTCTCCCATCTCAAAGACAAAACAAATAAAAAAGCCTCTTCCTGGTCCTCTTCTGGTTATTGTCTCCCTCTTCTTCTCCTCCAGCACAGCAAAACCTCGAGTTGTCAGTACTCCATGTCATTTCCCCAGGGTTCTCTCATACTGCAGCAGCCTCTAAAAAAGGCTTCTACTCTATCACAGCCC